GCACTAGCAAATGCACAGGAAGGACACACTAACAAGTGCGCAGGAAGCGTGTGCTAACTGCCAAGGCAGTGACGTTAGCACCGCGCAGCATAAGATTCAGGTCAAGGCCAGAGCCAGAGGCCCCAAGGCCTGCTTAGGAGCCCCGGGAAGGTCATCCTGCAAGGCCATGGGTCCCTGCGGCCAGAGTGGCTGCTCCACAAGAAAAACCACACAGCTGGACCTGTGAGAAAGCTGTTAATGTTAAGTGTTGACAACTCCCATCGTCACTGACATATCTCCATGGTGCGGGTGGCTAGGGAGAGCCCGTGGGTAGAGAGACCCTTGTGGCAGGTTCCACAGATGCAGAGACCCCTGTGGCTGGGACCCGTGGGCTGACAGGCCCCTGTGGACAAGAGATCGCTTCAGACGGAGACACCGAGGTAGCACAGACAGCGGGAGCACACACCCGCCCCACACAGGATCAGGGAGCTGGAGCCCCGTCTCCTGTGCTCTGCCAGCCGCTGCCCGGGCCTCTGAGGCAGCGGAGAGGCCCTCACAGGTGCGCCCCCCATCCTGCGATTCCACCAGAGGTGCCTTTCAACTTGGTCCTGTGGCCCAGCCACAGCCTGGGACGTGTCCTGGCCACCGAAGAAAGTTCCGTGGCATTCCTGTCACCATGGCGTTCCTGACACCACCGCGTACCTGACACCACGGCGTTCCCGACTCCACGGTGTTCCTGTCACCACGGCGTTCCCGACTCCACGGTGTTCCTGTCACCACGGCGTTCCCGACTCCACGGTGTTCCTGTCACCACGGCGTTCCCGACTCCACGGTGTTCCTGTCACCACGGCGTTCCCGACTCCACGGTGTTCCTGTCACCACGGCGTTCCCGACTCCACGGTGTTCCTGTCACCACGGCGTTCCCGACTCCACGGTGTTCCTGTCACCACGGCGTTCCCGACTCCACGGTGTTCCTGGCGCCTGGACTTCTCGGATGGCATCTCTTGTCTCCTCCGCTGGCTCGGCTGCCTGCGCCCCAGGCACCCCACTGAGAGCCCTGGGTCTCCAACAGAGGCTGGGCATGTGGAGAACTCAGGCGCTGGCTTTCTGAAACCGGTGTGCCTTTCAGCCTCAGTTTCCCGACTGTGCAACAGGGAAGGCGCGTGCCTCTGCTCACAGAGAGGCCGCCAGGACTCTGGGTGCTCCACGCAGGGCGGAAGACACCCAGGGCGGGGAGCCGATCGCCGCGGCCGGGAGCAGATTGTACACGCGTGAGCCTCTGTCCTCACCCAGGCAGGTGAAGAGACGCCGGAAAGGCCCGGGGCCGCACGGCAGCTCCGTCACGGAAAGCCCCGGATGCACGGAGATGCGGGGCCCCTCCACGCCAGGCCACTCAGCAGCACGGGACCAAGCCTGCCCTGGGTGTGTACACGAGTGTGCACATGTGTGTGTGAGCCCCTGGGCACCAGGCGTTCAGGAACAGCAAAGCCCCCGATTCACGCTGGCTTGTGGGGCACAGAGCCCCGCGTGTGCCCTGCGGGCCCCCGGGGTGCTGACCCCGGCCGAGGGGCGCGTCTCCCTCTCGCTCCGTCTGGCTCCCGAGCGAGCGGCTCTAGGCTGACACCGCGTGGAGCCACCACGCGCCCCGCACAGCTAATGGAGGGGCACCCTGCCCACGTCCTCTGCCCACGCCCGCAGGTGTCGGGAATCCTCCGCCCGTCGCTGGCCGTTGGTCTGCAGACGGTGGAGACTCCGGGTCTCCAGACGGGCCAGGCCCGGGTGCACCGCGAGGTGAGCCCGCCCGAGTTCCCCCCTGCTCCCCCTCAGTTTTTTCCTTCTTGGCCTCGGGGCCTAAAGTGTTTTCATTTTTCCAAATATCAATTGCTCTTTTATTCCCTCTCTGAAGCCGTGAGTAATAAGAGTTGTGTCTGGTCCTGAAATTCCGACTGAAATAAATTAGCCCAATGACCAACAGGAGGTGCCTAGAACAATAACGACGGAATATTTGGCACGTTACGAAAGGGCCCTGGATGTGGAAGTACAGTAAGTCTAGGCGCACACAGCCGCGCGGCCTGGCCAGCGCCGGGCAGGCCAACCAGCCAGCCCAGCGCCTCATAAATTACGCCTGCTTCTTGCTCTTCCGCAGCTCCCTAGCCGTCCTGCTTCACGGGCCTGCGGAAGCCACTTCTGGTGTGGCCTGCGTCCCCAGCAGGGCCATGCAGGAATGCCCACACTCCTTCCTCTGCTGGCTGGATGTTCAGGGCCTTCTAGCTGTACTTGCCAGAGGGAGGCCCAAAGGCACCAAGCGGTTAACAAGTCTCTCCTTCCTTCCTTCCTTCCTTCCTTCCTGCCTTTTCCTTCTTCCCTCCCTTCCTTCTTCCTTCCTTTCCTTCCTTCTTTTCCCTTCCTTCTTCCTTCCTTTCTTTTCCTTCCTTCCTTCCTTCCTCCCTTCCTTCCTTCCTTCCTTTCCTTTCCTTTCCTTCTTCCCTCCCTTCCTTCTTCCTTCCTTCTTTTCCCTTCCTTCTTCCTTCCTTTCTTTTCCTTCCTTCCTTCCTTCCTTCCTTCCTTCCTTCCTTCCTTCCTTCCTTCTCTCCACCCCCCTCCTCCTCCTCTTCTTTCATTTCTTCTGTCTAGGTGGGAGCCTGGGACTCAAATCCAGTACCTGACATGTTGGCCTATTGGCTAGTGCTCTACCAGTTATGTCTTGTCTTCTTTGTTTTTTCTTAACAAGTCTTGATCACCTACTAAGTACCGGCACCGGGCTTCGTGGATGTCGTTAAATTTAAAATTTCGGGATGAGAGGCTTGTGTTGGCTCCAGAAAGATCCCGTGCTGCCTCGCAGAAGGTGACAGCGTGGCAGGTGACAGCCTGTGTGTCTGCGTGTGGACACGGACGCGGCCGTGCGACCACGGAGGCTGGAAGCCAGGGAAGGCCCGCAGAAGGAGAAGGATTCCGGCAGGTTCTCACCCTGACCAAGACCAACCACAAAGCTGGGTACCGGCAGCGGCTCACAACTGTCATCCTAGCTACTTGGGAGGCTGAGATCTGAGGATCGCGGTTCAAAGCCAGCCTGGACAGGAAAGGCCGTGAGACTCTTACCTCCAATAAACCACCAGAAAACCAGAAGTGGCGCTGTGGCTCAAGTGGTAGAGCGCTCACCTTGAGCTGAAGAGCTGAGGGACAGTGCCTAAGTCCAGAGTTCAAGACCCACGACCACAAAAGTATTTGACAAAGTTGCCCCTGGACAGAACATAGAATTCTCTCCTCGTCACCAGTCCCTCCGTGGCACAGTAAAACGGCCGCACAGCGTCGTGCTGCAGCAGGCGTCAAAATGAGTGCGGTGCCATTTTGTTATGAAAGGCTCGAGATCCCGGGGCCCACGTCTCAGGTCCTGGCCCTGTTCTCCTGTGAATTCCAAGCAGCCATCCTGTTCGCAAGGAGTCAGTCCCCGAAGCTGGCATCCTGTCTGGCTGTATTTGTGGGACACTCTAAGGCAATAAACTAAGTTTGTGGTTTCAGGCGTTGGGGCAATGGGCAGTTGGAGAAGCATGGGGGGCAGGAGTGTCCAGGCCCCGTGTGCTGCTGGGGAGATGGGGAGATGGGGAGATGAGGGTGTCCAGGCCCCGTGTGCTGCTGGGGAGATGGGGAGATGGAGGTGTCCAGGGCCCATGTGCTGCTGGGGAGATGGGGGTGTCCAGGCCCCGTGTGCTGCTGGGGAGATGGGGGTGTCCAGGGCCCATGTGCTGCTGGGGAGATGGGGGTGTCCAGGCCCCGTGTGCTGCTGGGGAGATGGGGAGATGGGGAGATGGAGGTGTCCAGGGCCCATGTGCTGCTGGGGAGATGGGGGTGTCCAGGCCCCGTGTGCTGCTGGGGAGATGGGGGTGTCCAGGGCCCATGTGCTGCTGGGGAGATGGGGGTGTCCAGGGCCCATGTGCTGCTGGGGAGATGGGGTGTCCAGGGCCCCCCGTGTTCTGGTTCTGTATCAGCTGTGGTGACCAGAACTCAGACCTACAGTATGGCATCACTTCACAGCAAAATGCACACCATCCTGTGCAATGAGCCAGGACAGGTGGAGAGGGCCGGCAGCACTGGTGTCCTGACAGGGAAGCCACCCAAAACGTGGCGGGGGGGGGGGGGGGGGGGGGGGGAGGCGAGGGGCGGGGCGGCCGAGGGGCGGGGCGGCCGAGGGGCGGGGCAGCCGAGGGGCGGGTCGGCCGAGGGGCGGGTCGGCCGAGGGGCGGGCTCTTGGCCTTGTTTCCCACAACTGCACAGAATCCACAGCAGCAGCCTAGAGCGTTTCAACGTTGGTAGTCTTTACTGTCTTTCTTTCCAAACTTCACACGTTCATAAAACCTGGGGGCAGGCGTGGAAGCTCACACCTGGAATCCCAGCCCCTGGGGGAGAAGGGAAGGGACTCACCGTGAATCCAAGGCCAGACTGGGCCACATGGTGAGACCCTATCTCAAGGAAAGGGGGTGCGGTCTAGCAGAGGATACAGCCCTGGCTCCGTCCCAGCTCTCAACAGTAGAGACAGAAATGAGGCACAACCTTCCGGAAGACCGTCACTGCTCACAGTTGTGTGGAGGCCTTGTGAGGAAGGAGGCCCAGGGCGGGAGGCGGGGAGGCTGGGCTCAAGGGGGCCCAGGGCAGGAGGCAGGGAGGCAGGGAGGCCCAGGGCAGGAGGCAGGGAGGCCCAGGGCGGGAGGCAGGGAGGCAGGGAGGCCCAGGGCGGTGGGCGGGGAGGCTGGGCTCAAGGGGGCCCAGGGCAGGAGGTATGGAGGTAGGGAGGCCTTGTGATGGAGGTCCAGGGTGGGAGGCAAGGAGGCCAGGCTCAGGGAGGCCCAGGCAGGAGGCGGGGAGGCCGGGCTCAGGGAGGCCCAGGGTGGGAGGCCCAGGCGGGAGGCGGCCTGGCTGCTCCTCCTTCTGTGACATCAGAGGAGCCCTGAGGGCTGCCGGGCGACGGCTGCCCCCCTCTCCCACCCCCAGCACCTCAGTCCTGCCGGGCAGCCGGGCCTGGGGTCATGGCCATCCAACAGCTGGGCGGTGGGGGGCCGGAGGCCGCCCAGCTGCTGGCCCAGAGGCGGAGTGGGCCCTGTGAGGACCGGAAGCAGGTGAGGTCCGCAGGCGCAGGCCGCGCTCTCCCTGGCGGTGCCCTCGCCTGCCCCTCGTCACCCCCCGAAGGCTGCCCGGCGCCCCGCACCCGGCCCCCCCCCCCCCCCCGTCCCGTTCACCCTCGTGCGGCAGCGGCTGCAGGGCCAGGGCTGGGCTCTGCTGGCTGCCGCGTCCCCCGGGCCTAGGCCGGTGCAGGGACGCTGACACCGAGTCGTGCGCGGGTGGCGGCGCTCAGCGGCCGGGCGCCTAGAGCCCAGATCCTCGGCCTCGACCCTGAGTAACCAGGGTGAGGCCGGAGCCTGGGCACCGGCTTGAGTCACACCGCGCGTACTCACTCGCGACGCGTCTGAACCCAGCGCCTTCTTACTGCGTGACTCACGCGCGGTTATAGCGCGGCCGTGTCTCCCGTTTTCCGTGGGAGAAGCGCATTGTTCATCCTTCACTCTCGCTGGGCTGGGTGGGGTGCAGGCCCGGAACCCCGGCGGCCTGAGGCACAGACAGGCAGACCCTGGGCCGAGCCTGGGGCAGAGGCAAAACAAACACAGGCGGGGTGAGATTTGTCTCCTCGGCTCAAGGGGGCCGGGTGATGCCGCACGGGGCGCGAGCTCCGCCATGGTTGCATTTGGCAGCAGTGTGGCCTAATGAAGAGAACTCGAGCTAAGCTCTGCAGCTGACCCTACACCCAGACCTGACTCCCCGTCCCCTGGAGGGACTCCTGACCTCCTCCCCACCCTCCTCCCCGTCCTCCCCGTCCTCCTCCCCGTCCTCCCCGTCCTCTTCCCCCTCCTCCCGTCCCCCGGAGGGACTCACCACCTTCCCCGTCCTCCTGTCCAGACGCTGCTGGCGCTGTTGGTCCTGCTGCTGTACCTGGGCACAGGGATTTCAGGTGAGCATCTGAGGTCTGAGGAAGGAAGCCCTGAGCCAGGCCCCCAGGAGGGGACTCTGGAGACAGACGGCTGCCCAGGCCCCAGCCCTCCCTCCCTTTCCTGCTGGGGGTGGCCATGCTGGTTCTCCCAACTGCTCAGGGCCGGCGTTGCGTCTGCTTCAGGAAGAAGCTGGGAGATGTCGGAAGGGATCCAGGACTGCAGCTATCCGCAGAGTGCAGCGGCTTCCCAGGTTATTAGGCCGCACTGTGAGGTTCTGGGCAGGGGCTCTGGGGAGGGGGAGTCCAGCCCGTGGCCGGCCGGGCTGGGTGATGGACAGGCGCAGGCGGTGGGCTGGGCTGGGCAATGGACGGGTACGGGCGGCGGGCTGGGCCGGGCTGTGGGTGGGTACCATGTGCCTGGACCCGGGGGCTTTCTGAGAGGATAAAGCCTGGGAACCGTGTCTGGAGGCAGCCCGGTGTCTGCCTCCAGGGGCTGGAGTACCAGAGCCTGGAGCCCTGGAACACCCCCGTCAAGGCCCTGCGGAGCTGGATGAAGAACAGCCTGCACGCGTTCCTGGAGAAGCTGGAGGCGGACGTGCGGGAGCTGGAGCAGCTGGTGCGGGAGCTGGAGTTTTGGCTGGACGCCCTCCTGGGGGAGCCCCACGCGGATGGACCTTGCCTGCCGCACAGGAGCCAGGCGTGAGCGCCCGGCGTGAGCGCCGGGCCGGGGCGCGGGGCGTGAGCGCCAGGCCGGGGCGCGGGGCGGGCTGAGCTGCGACCCCCGCGTTCAGGGCAAGCAAGAAAATAAAATGACTGGGAAATGGGGTCCACCCTCCACCTTCACCAGCGCCGATCGAGGACGCCAGCGCCCCGGAGAGACGCCCTCAGCCCGAGGGAGCCGACAGCGGCCGGGGGCGTGCACATTCTCTTAGCCTCTCCGAGACCCCATTTCCTCTTAGGTGAACATCGAAGACACATTCAGGCTCCCGTGGGTCCCTGATGTGAGGAAAGCCGGGGTCGGGCGGGGAGCGGGGCCCTGGCACGCACGGTGGCATCTCCTGCTCTTCCTCTCGGGAGACGCAGCCTGTGGCCGTCGGTGTCTGGGACTCGTGGACAGCCGCTCTCAAATCTGTGAGCGCATTTCCTCTGGCCTTTACCAAACCCAGCCAGACCGGCACTCACGAGAAAGGGTTGGGTTCCTCACCCCAACTGCATTCACAAAGGCGGAGAAAAACACCAGCCGCCCACAGGAACGCTGTGGGAAAGGCTACGCAAGTCAGAGCATCACAAAGCAGCGAGGGACACAGATATTTGCTGCTGCCATTGACAGTGTTACTAAACACACATTGAAAACTCTGGAAGGGCCACGTGCCGGTGCGGCTGAGATCTGGGGGATTGATGCTGGAGCCCAGGAGACCAGTGCGGCGGCTCACGCGGTCATCTCAGCGACTGTGGGAAGCATCAGACAGGAAGGCTGTGGTCCGGGGTCGGAGCCTCTCTGTAAAACAACCAGGGCAGAAAATGGCTGAAGGTGCAGCCCAGAGGGAGAGCACTGGCCCAGTGCTTGAGTCCCAACCCCAGCACAACAAAAGAAAAGAAAACAAAAGGCCTGGAAGGATGCAAGGGAGGGGAAGGCCGAGAACCGAGCGTGTGCCAGCAGAGGAGATGGAGACGGAGATGGAGACGGAGACTGCTCTGCTTCCTTCGAGTCGGACGATGAGCCACGTTCACACCCCTACCTCTGGGACCTCACTCGGGATTGCAGTGAGCCTCGCATCTGATGTCTGTCTCCATTTTAGTGGAGTTGTTATGTCCGTGCCAATTACTAAAGTGCTGAACTCCCTGGAAAATCATGAGGACACAAATTAAGCTGCTCTCAGAGGAAGTCTGCCATGCAGGGGGTGGCTAGGTAATTTGTTTGCCCAGGAGAATTAGTTGTCTTTGGGGATGGAAAAAGTCTTGAAATTATGACTCCAATTTCCTACTTTGAGCCCTCCGGGCGGTGGAGCCAGAGTCCCTTCCCCCACCCGCTGGTCTGCCCAGTCCCTGTCCACGGGCAGGGACCACAGGCATTTCCCCGCTGTCACCTTGCAGGACTGTAGACTCGCGGCACCCAAGCCACATAACCACCCAGGACGGTTCTGTGGGCTTCTGCTTTGCAGGCGGAACTTTGACAATGCACCATTTTCCCCCAACATAAACTTTAGACTCTAGTCTCCACCGGTTGAAATTCTGCATTTGCAATCTAAATGCCTGTGAATCTGCATCTGTATTTATGTCGCAGTACAGATTTTATGTTGGTGTGTTTTATGCAGGTTGAGCAGCTCCAGTTGGAAATTTAAAAACACTCAAAATCTGAAGCTTTTTGAGTGCTCACACGATGCAAAGTCTCTTGGGGTGCTAGTCAAAACGCAACTGCGCCAAAAATATGGTGTAAAATTACAATGGAGAGGAGGATGTGGTGTCTCACACCTGCAATCTGACACCCAGGAGACGTGGCTGAAGGCCAGTCTGGAAAAAGTGAGCCCTCATCTCAACCAACCAACCAGGCGAGGTGGTGCCTTCCTCTGGTCCCAGCAACCCAGGGGGCTGAGGCAGGATGACCAGTCCAAGGCCAACGCAGGCAACGCACGTGATCCTGCCTGGAAAGAGCAAACAAAAACAGAAGCACTGGGGTGTGGCCAATGGTGGTGTGCTTGCCCAACGAGGAAGCCTAAACTCAAAGCCTTGAGGGGAAAATCCCCTTCTGGCCATATTGATTAGGTAGAGACAAACAAGCCAGCTACGGTGGCACATGCCTGTAATCCCCCCAGGGGGCTCAGAGTTTGAGGCCTGCCTGGGTACCTACTAGGACCGATTCAAACAACAAATATGAGCGTTCACACTTGTGTCCCAGGCCCAAGGTAGGATATTATATACATATATACATATATGTGCACATATTCCAAAGTTCCCCAAACCCTCTCAAGTCCAAAATACTTCTAGTCCAAGAATTTCCGAGAAGCAATACTCAATTTGTATGTGAAATACATTTTATGTGTTTGGAATAAAATTTGGGATACCTTTAAAGGGGGGTGTGAGGGACGCAGCGCTAGCTTCCTGAAGGAATGACTGAGCAGAGCGGGTGTGTTCCCCCCCTCGCACCACCGGTCAGCTTCGCGGTCACTCCGCCGCCGCCTCCCGGCGGGCCGTCCGTGCGTCCTGCTTCGAGGCCTCCTGTCCTCTCCCTAGCAAGTTCTCCTGTCCGCATGGCCGCCCACACTCTACGGACTGGAATTCTGTCCACGCTGCCCGGGCCGGGTGCCAGGGTGGCCTCGGACTCTGGCCTGGTCTTAGCCTGGCTGCTCCGGGCCCAGTCGGGACCTGGAGCCAGTGGCCGGGCCAGCAGAGGCCTGGGGTGAGCTCAGGGTGAGAAGAGCATCGCGGGGGTGGGAGGGGGGCAGCAGGGCAGGTGGGGGGGCAGGGGTGGGCAGGAGGGGCAGCAGGGCGGCGGGTGGCGGGCCAGGGGTGGGCAGGGGGGCAGCAGGGCGGCGGGCGGCGGGCCAGGGGCGGGCAGGGGGGGGCAGCAGGGCAGGCAGGGGTGGGCAGGGGGAGCAGGTGGGGGGGCAGGGGCGGGCAGGGGGGCAGCAGGGCAGGCAGGGGTGGGCAGGGGGAGCAGGTGGGGGGGCAGGGGCGGGCAGGGGGGCAGCAGGGCAGGCAGGGGTGGGCAGGGGGAGCAGGTGGGGGGGCAGGAGCGGGCAGGGGGGGCAGCAGGGCGGCGGGCGGTGGGCCAGGGGTGGGCAGGGGGGCAGCAGGGCAGGCAGGGGTGGGCAGGGGGAGCAGGTGGGGGGGCAGGGGCGGGCAGGGGGGGCAGCAGGGCGGCGGGCGGTGGGCCAGGGGCGGGCAGGGGGGCGGGCGGTGGGCCAGGGGCGGGCAGGGGGGCGGGCGGTGGGCCAGGGGCGGGCAGGGGGCAGCAGGGCAGGCAGGGGCGGGCAGGGGGCGGGCAGGGTGGGCGGGGGAGCGGGCAGGGCGGGCGGGGGGGCAGCAGGGCGGGCAGGGGGCAGGCAGGGGGGGCAGGGGGGACAGGGGGCGGGCAGGGCGGGCAGGGGGGCAGCAGGGCAGGCAGGGGCGGGCAGGGGGGAGGGCGGCAGGCCAGGGGCAGGCAGGGGGGGCAGGGCGGGCAGGGGGGGCAGCAGGGCGGGCAGGGGGGACAGGGGGCGGGCAGGGCGGGCAGGGGGGGCAGGGCGGGCAGGCAGGGGGGGGCAGGGGGGAGGGCGGCGGGCCAGGGGCGGGCAGGGGGGAGGGCGGCGGGCCAGGGGCGGGCAGGGGGGCGGGCGGCGGGCCAGGGGCGGGCAGGGGGGGCAGGGGGGGCGGGGGAGCGGGCAGGGCGGGCGGGGGGGCGGGCAGGGCGGGCAGGGGCGGGCAGGGGGGAGGGCGGCGGGCCAGGGGCGGGCAGGGGGGGCAGCAGGGCGGCGGGCGGCGGGCCAGGGGTGGGCAGGGGGGCGGGCGGCGGGCCAGGGGTGGGCAGGGGGGGCAGCAGGGCGGCGGGCGGCGGGCCAGGGGAGGGCAGGGCGGGCAGGGGGGGCAGGGCGGGCAGGGGGGCAGCAGGGCGGGCAGGGCGGGCAGGGGGGGCAGGCAGGGCAGGCAGGGGCGGGCAGGGGGTGGGCGGCGGGCCAGGGGCGGGCAGGGGGGAGGGCGGCGGGCCAGGGGCGGGCAGGGGGGGCAGCAGGGCAGGCAGGGGCGGGCAGGGGGCGGGCGGCGGGCCAGGGGCGGGCAGGGGGGAGGGCGGCGGGCAGGGGGGGCAGCAGGGCAGGCAGGGGCGGGCAGGGGGGAGGGCGGTGGGCCAGGGGCGGGCAGGGGGGAGGGCGGCGGGCAGGGGGGGCAGCAGGGCAGGCAGGGGGGGGCAGGGGGCGGGCGGCGGGCCAGGGGCGGGCAGGGGGGAGGGCGGCGGGCCAGGGGCGGGCAGGGGGGAGGGCGGCGGGCCAGGGGCGGGCAGGGGGGAGGGCGGCGGGCCAGGGGCGGGCAGGGGGGCAGCAGCGGGCGGCGGGCCAGGTGCTCCGTGGGCGCTCAGGACTCGCTCTCCACAGAGAAGGGCCAGTGTGCCTTCAGGCCCTGGGCCGGCATGGAGGTGGGGAAGGCCAGGCAGGCCTGGTCCTGCCCGGGGAAAGGTGGCCACGGGTGAGGTCATGACCCGGCAGTGACCCACAGTCCACTTGTTTCGGGCACCTGGAACGTGAGGTCAGCATCGGATCACTAAAAGCGCTTCATCAGCCTCCGCGGATGGCACCTTCCAGGCTCTCTTACACCAAGAGGAATTAGGCAACCTTTGCCCGCTGCAGCCCTCCGGCCCTCCTGTTTGGCTCACCCCGGATTTGTCTGGGGTTTTTCTTTTTGGTCAGCATTTTTACTCTTCTGACTTGTATAGCAAGGGGGAAATGCAATCGTTCTGATACGCGTGCTTTAAAAACAAGAATCCGAGACGTCCGATGGGAGCCGGGTAAGGCCACCTTACGCACCGGCGTGCGGGCTCTCAGACATGAGGTTTGCCATGGGGATGAGCTGGGGACACGGCCCCGGGCGCCTGCGCCCCTGTACCGCTGCACGCGGCGGGGTACGGGCCTGACAGCCCAAGAGGCGTCGACTGAGGCCCTCACCACTCACCGGTCCCACCATCAACGCCCTCCCTCCCAGCCAGGTTCTGCGTGGCCTCCCTCCACCAGACCC